TAGAAGCTCGCTAACCTGAACTTCGCTGATCCGAAGTTTGCTTAATTCGAAAACGAAATCATCGGTTAATGTGGTCGAGGAATGGAAAGGGAAACATAAGACGGTAATCCTTAAATAGTAATTCAGTAACTTGCGACTGTCCGTCCGTTTATCCGGCACTCAGGGTTAGACGAATTTCAGTTCATTAATTGAGGCAAATGAAGTGCAATTCGACGTGTCTAGATGATATATCGAAAACGTTCCATGAAATATATCTAAAACATATTTATAATGGTTCTAAACATCTAAACGCGATTGGGATAGGCACCTACAGAGGTGATCAGAAGATTAATCTATTCACCTCGCCAACACAAATCGATTGTGATACTTATTTGATTTCCTCCATGATATTCTGAAAGAACTCTAGAACAAACATGTGTTTTTGATGGTTTCATTGCACCTAGGAATACAATGGCGAAACGCCGTGAATTACTACAGTTTTGTTCCGGCATATTCGTGAATTGTTAAGAATTGATTCATCAGATTGAGGAAAATTAAACGTACTTTACATCCACATATACATTTTTTGAAATGTCTATGAAGACTCATATCATTTCAATATAATGATCTTTGCCTATTGACAATTTTGGTATCATTTCATTTATTTTGTCTGTTTTTCGACGTGTAACACTTTTTAAATGCTGAGTTCTAATGATTAAGCGCAGTAGTTTTATCATTGACACAAAAGTGAAGTACAACAGAGAAGAAACATAGTGAAATAGCTATTTTATATATTGTTAGTCATAACTGTTGTTTATATCGTAAATAATTTAAGACGTATATTTGATTTAATTTTACACTAATAAAATAAAATATGAACCTGGCACTTCAAACATTTTATTAAATAATTACCTAGATTGTTTAGTCTTGTCCCAGATTATTCTTTAACCGTGCAAGCTCCAATCAATTTTATTCCCATTTCGGCAGTGTTCATGAAGTTGAGAGTCTGTCAAGGCGATTCCCCAGACCCCAACACGATCGAAGTTTTCCCCAAACTCCCGACTTCATTGACAGGCAAAGGGTCTGTGCGCTGCCGGGATTCGAACGCTCAACTTGCGCCAATCGGCGCCGAAGCCACCTCTCGCCCCTCGTCGCTCACGGCTTTTCCCGTCCTTTCCCTATTAGCAATGCATGGGTTGGGCCACCGACTCCCGGCATCGGCAGCTGTAAATTGCAGGCTTAGCAATGCAGACGCGGCCTGCGCCACAGCAGCGGCCGGAGTCGCGCAATTTTCCGCCCTCGTTCGCGGGAAGTCCCTCGGCAAACTGGCAACGACGGAATCGCCGTTGGAACTGTTGAAAGAGAACGATTTTATTCGATGCTTGTTTATGTTTAGATCACCATCGGCTGGCGTATTAATGCGAAATTTCAAACAATTCGTACATTGTAAGCTTTAAGTTCGCGTGAAAAAATTTAAAATGTTTAAATTGACTTTATGAATAGAACAATTTCAACAGTAGTGTTGTAACAATTTAAAACGTAAGAGAGTTAAAAAGTAACTAAAAATAGAAGAAAGTAAATACTTAAAAAATATCGCGGTTGTAGAATCATAATAGGTTTTCTATAGATACCTGTGAAATAGCTTACAAAAATTCATTTTGGGTAGAAAACGTAATAAATATTAGTAATTAAGTTTTAAAAACCAAATATTTTATTTATTAAAAATAATATTAAAATAAATAATGTTATATTTATTTTAAGTTGCTGCTAATACATTAAAACTAATATTATAGTCGCCTTTTAAGTGAGGCTTAGGAAGTAAGATTTCCTTCAATGTTGATATTTTTTCTCTCTCTTCACATTAAATATATTTATTTTTAATGTACTACTAGACGTTTATACTTAACTTTGTCATGTGTGATAATGTATTTTATCATGTTATACCCTCTTTATTCTGTTACTGTGTAACAGCTAAGCAACCAGCATAAAAATAAAAAAAACGTAAGGGGGAAAGAACACACTATGTAAAGACTAATCATGCACTGCCTTCCATTCATTATGCCCTAATGGTTATATGATTTTATGTTCCATCTTAATATTCTAGATGCGGAATGGCTTTTATGAGCATATATTAGCAATCAATATACCATTTCCGAATGGATTGCACGGAAAGAAGGGGACAATTTGTGGGTTCAGAAGACCCGAGCGCTCCAAATGAACTCTGCTAGACAAATTGCCGACAACACCAGAATAGCCCGACTTGGTCTCAATTCCAGAATTTATTGAGACATCGGCAAAGTCTCAGTGGATTTATCGACGTGGTAATTAAATTCTTATTCCTTCATTTATCGTCTTTGGCTTCAATAAAAATGATCGCGTTCACATTTTTGCGCTTTACGCATTTTGTTTGTGTTTCATAAATATATTTTTCGCAAATCTAAAGTTTTATATTCGGAAATATGACTGTAAGCACGAGAGAGTAAATAACTGTGATATTTTAAATAACATAATAAGATTTCTGTGACCTTAATTAGCAATAGCCGGTAGCTGCATCTAAATCAATGCAGGGAATGAAAGAGTGACTGGAGAGAGTTTATTTGCTGGGTATTAAATGGCCATCATTTGCGTATGATCAGCATCAAATGCTATCCAAAACTAGTGGTGCTAAAACAGCACGTACTTCCTCGCTATTAGTAATGGTTATGTAATACTAATTATACCACGATTTCTTTCCGAATTATTTTTTGAAAAATTCATTTGAAATCGTAGAACATTTGATGTGAAAAATAAGCAGAATGCGAGAAAGTAAAATAATTAAAGGTTAAAAAATGTATGATACTGATGGCGTTGACAAACAAATGCAAATAGATAGAAAAATATATAATAGTAATTATTAAACACTATGATATTGTAATATTCTACTAATATACAAAAATATTCAGTTCCATTGCCGCGAATGAAGAGCAGCCGTCATCGCCTTCTGTTATCTGTGCGGCGATACAACAATGAGCAACAACCAACAATGACTGCTCATCTATTTGTTTTCACATTCAACACAAAGGATGAAGTTTAAAATTAAATCACATAAATATAATTAATACTAATAATAAAATGAAATACGAACATACAAATTCTAACATATTCTAAATTTAGCAACTGAATTTATCAATTTTTTCGTTTGCAGGGACCTGTAATAAGAGTTTTTTTTGCCAAAAAATCGCCGTTTTTCGCCGAGCATTACATAACTTTCTCATCTTAAGCGCGAGACAGGCTGCACGCTTACTGCTCTTGATCGCTGTGTGAAGAATGGTTTTTTATTAAGTCTATTACATGTGCGAGATTGAGAATTTGAAAGTTTCAGGCAAATTTTGCAGTGAATTATTTCAGACGAATAACGTCTACGCCTGAGGAAGAAAGCTGGATACACGCTGATCAGCTAAGTTTAGCTTAAAACCAGCAAAGAAGCTGTCTCTAAAGCGTTTCTGTTTGGAGTGCGGCTAGTCTCGATGGTTGTAGATCTTCGAAACTAGCTTTATAGATAGGTGGAATTCAGCCGCTGTCTGGAGGAGGATTCATTTGGTCGGATGTGTGGATTGATAGTTTTTGGCCTCTCCGATTAGACGAATGCCAGAGTGGTGATCTACCTAACGGTCCAAGGAATTCGCACGATATTTTCTTCCTCTTCTTTGTCTTATTCTCTCTTCTTACATACACTTACAATCAAGTGCACTGTACCCCACATGCTAGGATTAATGAATGAGTTGAGAGAAGCTGCTCCATTTGGTTATTTACTGGCGAATCCGATCCATTTCTGGTGAACACCGGAAAAGTATCCTAACAAAAGGGGTACTGGGATGCATGCGATCAACTCTATTTCTTCATCTCCTATCCCTGTAGGCAAAATTCACCATGCAGATAATCGTTTAGAAAAGTCCTTTGAATTCTTTGACTAGAAAGTATGAGGTGACGTGTTCGTGTTGCAGATGCTTTGTGAGGAGAGCATAGTTCATTGAAGATCAAAAGGAGATATTACTTTTATCTACAGACTACATATTCACTAATTACTTATATTTATATTAGTCGCCAAATTTTTAAAAATAATAATGGCACAAACAGACAGGACGCGATGCGGTGTGAGTTGTGGAGGGGCAGGATCAGCAAGCAGCAGCGCTGCACCACGCCGTGTAGAGTATGTTTCTGATCAACTATACAGATGTCTCAGAACAAATGTTACAAACGTCTGGGGCAACGTTGCCAATGAATATGTGGCGGAAAACATCACACTACGATGTTACATTTATAGTGTTTGGCAATCACCATTCTCTGGGCAGGAACATGTTGTGATTTGTTAAAAAGCATTAAATGTATCTGCCAAACTACAGTGCAAAAATAATTTCCATCATATGAGGAAAGGTCTCAAATTTGTTACGTCGTTATATACGTAGCTACTTGGCAGTCCGGAAGACGCCACATCGTAATCACAGGTGTCAACGTTTCGGCCGCTATTCTGCGACCTTCCTCAGGGTGAAATGCGCATTTCATTCTAAGGAATGTTGCAGAACAGAGGCCGAAACGTTTGCATCTGGGCCTAGGGCGAGGCGTCTCCCATATAGCAAAATAGCCACTGACTCCGGCCTTGGAAGCCTAAGCTCTTGCTGTATGACATTACTATCTACACGTCAAATGGCAAAAAGTGGTCATCTTCGACCCTCTTACCTGATCTATTAGATGATAGCATTTATTCTAGGACGAAGTCGTAGGCTTCCGCTAGGCTTTCGAGTCATGTGGGTGGTATGCATACCAGCCCTGAAGAAGACCACGACATGATGGTCAAAACGTCGGCAACACAGCCTTCGACGCGGCGTCACCCGGACAGCCCAGATCACCCATTTATTCTAGGACATCGTGTACACAGTTTTTACATCCCTCCGCGCGCGCCACTTGGCATTCCGTCCACTGCTCCCGGTCTCTCCAGACGCCTGTGATTCCTCGGGGCAGAAGGCGAGGAGCTGCGGCGAGACTCACCCCATGGCGCTGAAGTAGGAGCAGTTGCGTAGGCGGTTGATGATCTCGGTGCCGTTCAAGGGGTCCCCGCCGGCGTCCAGCTGCTCCACCAGTGCGCGCGCGTACAGGTGCGCCGCGTCGTACAGGTACGCCGCCTCCACGCGCACCTGCGGAACCGCATCAACCCCCAGTTACAACAGATACTGTGATGTGCACTACAGTGAAGACTCGAGTCCGCGATCGAAAATCATATGATACAGTTGGCCATAATCCGCCTCCGTGGCTAAAACAAGGATAAGTAGTAATGGAACATATCAACTATATTTATATTTTAAATAATAACTTGATGAATTAGCCATTATATTATGATATATTTCTAGGAGACAGAATTTTACTAATGCTAATATTTTAAATTCAAATTAATTGGGATCGCTCAAACATTCTGCATATTTTAATTTCTGCATATTTAAATTTGTTTGAAAATTTAAAATACTTTATTAGAACCCAAGTTAGAACGTCTCTCTTTAATTCCTACTACGAAGTAGTGGTAGCCTAAAAAATGTAATAACCTCCAAAAAGAAGTAATTTCTAGACTGCGGTATAAGAAACATAGTTCGTGTTTCTTTAGGAACAAGAAAACGTCGGTTTTAGGACTCTACGACGCATCGTTAACGAGTTATGCACAATGATTTTTGCAGCGCAATATGTTTTGTGGATGGAATGGGCGCCTGATGTTGCACTAAAACCTTAAAATTTCTATTTTTTCGTTAAAAATCTGTGTGATGCAGATCAAGGGAGGAAATATCTCTGAAGCAGTAACATTCAGAAAGGGATTTGTGCTTATGGTTTCTTAAAAATGGTAGAAGAACATTATATTTTCCTTTCCGCATTATGGATAGAGTAGACGCTGGTAATATAAACCTCAGTCGAGCTGTAATGTTTGGAGCACATGAAATCATAAGCGTACATTTAAATATTATCTCGTCAGGAGTGTGTGATAATTAAAGGGATAAGTATGGTAGTGTGCTAGACTTTGTAATATAAGCCTTACGTGAGTTATCTTAGTATTTAATCAGTTTTAAACCGACAATTTATAGGACATCTTGTATGAATAAAGGTCAGTTTCATAATCTCACGTCATTTCTTCGGAATTAACATCAAATTACTTACACATTTCCTTTTCATGATAAATATGAATTTAGTAAGTTTTAGAGCGTGATAAGTAATCCTTCAATTCAATTAAAACATTATATTAATATATGTGAAGATATATTACAGATGTGTAACATTTACACAAATTTATTTCTTTTCCCTCTAGTGGCCCTTATTACATGTTGATTCATTGGTCAAAGTTAAAAATGCACGGATAATAAAAGCACATTGCCACAAATGTAAAATAACATTTCAATCAAAAATATGATAAGCACTACCAATTTATTAATGCAAGAGAATAGGATAAGAATATGGGGCAAAAATATACAATATTTGCGCACATTGTTTATCAGAAATGTCCTCCGTGTGCCCTAACTTTCTTTAAATTATTTTATGAAGATCTTTTTGGGAGTCCACTTTCCAAAACCTAATGGTGCACGATAAGCCCTGTAAGTAAGGTACTCTCATCACAGATATTAAATTCCGTCCGGATGTTTTTTCATTGTGTGAACTGGGATCAATCCGTACGTTTATATGCTCATTTTTTCGAGCTTTGGGTCATTAGTGTGGTGAATAATGGGAAAGTAAATTCTCAATGGTTGGAGAAAGAAAAGGCATTTTATCTTTCTGATTTTTGAGCAACTGAAGACAGCAGTGGTCTTCCATCCGCTTGCGCAGTTGGTAGACGTGAACATGAAGGGTGAATGGTAATTTAAGATGGATGCTTGCAAATGGGACGACGGTTCAAATAAGGTTCACGGTGATATGAAAATCTTAGCACTCCAGAATCACATTGAGAAAGCACACAAGCATTAGGAGGGACGTAAGAAGCCATCATATCCACTCCAATTCTCTAGTTTTATCACGTTCCTGTGCCATCGAGGCAGGATTTAAGATCAGTAATCGTATGCGTACTGATTACAATAGAGAACAGGATTTGTTACCACAATGAAGGTAGAGTGAGCAACGTACTCAATTTTATTAATAGATTACGAGTATCAGAATAAAAAAGTCATATCACTTCACAGTTTTCAAATATAGCGTATTTTTATCCGTATATTGTTATTAATGCAAATAATTTAAATTGCCTGTAAGATGTGTAATCAAAACGCCTAAAATCTACTTATAAATAAAATGTTATTCAGTTAATCTCTTTTGCTTTCATGAGATATGTATGATTTTGTGTTTTTTTACTTTTGTATTCAAAGACATGTATTTATTCTTGTGTTTTGAAAACAAGACACGTGTACCTTCGAATTTCCTACTGCGCATCAGTCACCGAAAGGTATTATTTTAGACCCGTAGCCTACCGCAAATATAAAAAACTTTTGGCGTGGCAGATTGTGAGTCAGTCGGTGTTATGTGGAACAGTACCCACAGTGCGCGTGAAGTTCGTGTCAGGTTTGCGTGTACCTCAAATATATTAATACTTAATTACAGGTCTGCGGGTTTAATAAAGTGGTATTAGTCACATGATCTGTTGGATTGAATCGGTTAGATAAAACCCAGATCGTCATTTCACATCGAAAGTGTGTACGAATCATCTCGATAACGTCTGTTACGTTTGTGGAAGATTTACACCCAAATTTCAAAGAAAAATAATTACAAAACTTGCGTATTCTTTATACTTTGGATGTCGTGTTTGTTGAATATTATTGCTGGTTTCTTGTCAGAAAGAAAATAAACAAGAATACGAGAATAAGAGTGAAGGCGCAAAAGCATTTTTAAGAAATAGGAATTATTCCTCCCACTATGTTTCAATATTATTATACGAATACGCGTAATCCATTTCTAAATTGGAAAGCACCTCAAATGAAGCATGCTCATCAGTTTTGTAGTAATATAACCAAAGTAACAATGGGGAAATTAGTATAGGATTCTATTTATTTCAAATACTAAATATGTTTACATATTGTGATAGAAACTATTTATAATGATTTTCGAAATCAGTGTGATCATTTCTTTGAAATCCCCTAATTTTATCCTGGAGATATGAACAAAAAGTTGTTCCCGAGTGTTACTTGTATATGCCACAAAAGTTTTTATTAATATAAAAAGATTTATAATACTAATTTGTCTATTTTAATAGTGTATACATTAAAACATTGTGACAAAACATACGCATTCATTTGTACATCATCTACAGTTCTCTAACATAATTTTAAACTGTTCTCTTATGCACTTTTCGAAAGGGTTTCTTAGATGTCGACGCAGTAGAATTGATTGATAAAATCTTAGAAAACGTAGTAGATTACATCACGCTGCTGAGAGGTAAAGAATATACAGCAGATGGAATTAAATACATTTTACGAGAAAATCTTATTTCTAAATTCCGTAAGCCATATGCCCATCAACTGTAATTTTTGTGAGCAGTAAGTTCATTCTCTCCTCACTCACACTTTATTTACAAATCTAAAATGTATGTATTAATTCTACGTAAAAATATATTATATATGTAAGTAAATTTTGCTTTTTTCTTAAAATGTAGAGTGGTTTTGCATTGCTTAAAATAATAAAGTTCCATTTAAGAGGTTTACACACGAATTCCAGCTTATTTTCGATAGATAAAGGAGAATAATCGGTAAGCGTGAAAACCAGCGAAAGACGAGTGCGCAGTGCATGCCTTTGGAAAAGGTCTTTCGACCTGGCAAGTGGCGTTCTCGCACATCTTTCATCCGTTTATTTTCGTACCTCCTGGAAGGCAAACGTCGATTTTCCGGGCCGCGCGCGCAACGGAAGCTTTGTGGCGGGCTGCGAGAGGTAAAGGTGCTCTGTAGAATAAAACCAGGAGAAAAAAAAAAAGGTCGCGCGGGGACCTTTTGTTCGAGCAGGACGGGGTATTTCGGGTGAAACAAGGCAGCGTTGACGGGAAAAGTGTGGGCTCCTTCGCGCTTTTCGGCTTCCGCGTAGGGAAACATTCGGAGCGCGGTTGAGAGCATTGCCAATTCGTAAAATGTATTTTGTTATGTTTTTAAATGCATGCTTCTGTATGCCTTTGTACCCATTCTTGTATTCAGTTTCTTACACTTTAAATTATGTGTATACTTTTGCCTTGACGTTACTTTCATCACACACATTGTTCCATTTTCCTTAAGACTTAATGAATTTTCATTTCATGCTACATTTCGTTCTTCTTATGTCTTTATTCAACTAATTTTTTTACACTCTTTGAATTTTATCAATTGTATTTACAAGTTTTCGTTTGTATTTAAGTGTTGTCTTTCCACGTTGTTGGAATACACATCATTAGATAAAAATACCGAAACCCGAGTCTGGTTTCTAATGAGAGACCCTGGACCCCGGCTCTTCGGAGTTGCTGACAATCGGAAATTTAATAAAGTAGTTTATATTACGATCATATGTTAATAGATCCCTATTCTCGCCATTATCGATTGCATCCGTTCAATACGATGTTTCTAAATTCGTACTATAATACTACGTGTGATATTTTTGTACGAAATAACCACATACATATGAAGTTTGTTCCTGAAATATGCTAGGAAAAGACAGATTTATATCACAATATTTGCAACAAAGGCAAATTGGAATACCCATTATCATATATAAAGTTTGATTTGTTATTGTTTTATTCCCTTGGTACGTTTCTTTCATTTCCGAACAAATATTCTTAAGTTTATTCACTTCAAAAATATTCAGCTACAATTAATAATTACTATTTGAATTATCAATATCTTCACTCAAATAATACACCGAAAATATACCCTTCCAAATTTCATACAGAGGCTGCAAACACCTTTCTCATTTTCTGAGAGTTAATCCTGGCTGGTTGCGGAGGGAAACAAAATAATAATATTTGTCATAAAAACATGTAGTACAAAAGAGCGCTCGAAACAAGACGCCCCAGTTACTGATGCTCTTATTGACCGAACCGCGAGTCGCGCGTCGTAGCAATGATTGACGGTACAACCGCCCATTCTCCCAGCTTCTTGTTGCCTCTCGCAGGGTGTCTGCTCTTCTCTGCTTAAGCGCTCGGCGGCTGACACAGTGAGCGCTACACTAGTTGGTATTGATAGATTTTGATGATCCATAGTCCAAATACCTCCCCTTAGCGGTGCACTGCCCAAGTCGGAATGAACTCTAATCTCTCTACATGTCTGGTAGTGTAGTACGTGTACATATTGTGTGTGTGTGTGTGTGTGTGTGTGTGTATAAGGAGAGAAAAGAGGACAAGGATGGCAAAGGAAAAATCGCGCCACTCAGTCAGTCAATGAAGAGTCAATGAATACCGAAGAGCCCCAAAACATAAATAAGAAAATTAAACAAAGATTTAATAAAAAAAGTGAATGCAATATCTCGCGTTCAGAAATCTCCAAATATACATGTTGAAATTATATATTTACCTTTTTTCAATGGTCCTTGTGACAAAAAGTGCTGCATGATTATTGCTTCTGGGAATGGCGTTCAAACGTTTCGTTCTTTCTCATGAAATTTGCAACGGCGAAAGGAATTTGAGGCACATTTTCAAGGAGCTGTCTCATTTTGTTTTGTACATGTACTGCGTACCTAAGCATATTGAAATTATTTTATGAAAACATCAGTTGATCTGTGTTTCATGCAATTCGTAAAAGGACATTATTCTAATGAAACAATTGTATTTTGTTTGTGTCAACGACTGCGGTTTCGAGACCACACCAATGCGAAGTTTACATCATGCTACTAATTCTAGGAAGTGATTAAAGAAGTGATACTATTTAAATTATGAGTTTTGTACATGCAGAAAATTTTATTAATTGCTCCGTAAGCACAGACATTCCAAAAGTGGTCAATATTTATACTATGTCTGAACCTTTTGAACTATTTGAACTCTGGTACTGGTCTAGTTTTACTAATAACTTCGACGACGTCATGCTCTGCGCACAGATCCCAATGTTTCAGCCGTCATTCTGCAACTTCCCTCAGGGTGATGATAAATTAGGGACGTGGATAATTTATTGTAAGTTCACCAAGTGTGACATTTCATAAAGTTTATTCTTCTACGTTTTGTAAAATTATTATCTTTATCAATTATCCTTATCTTTTTATTATTATTATTATTATTATTATTATTATTATTATTATTATTATTATTATCATAATCTTATCCGTCTTTCATATTGATAATCACGTTCGTTTTCGTGATCTTGACTCTATTTTTTGACTGAATATGATATTCCAATATTGTTATATTTTTAATAATGTGATTTTAATTTCTGTATTACTAATTTTGAAGTTGCATTTTTATTTCTCATGTCAAAAATGAAAAGAAAGCGTGCTGTGATTTTTGCTTGAATTTTGGATGTAGAGGTTTTGTTATAAAATGTTGCAAATGAATCACTACTACATGTTTCAATAATTTCTTAACAATTCACGTAATTTTTTATCGAGTGAAATATTTAATATCGTTATAGTGTAATACACACAGTTTCTTAGAGTAGGTAATGTAACTTATTGTGAGGCATTATGAATTTTAGCAAAAGGGGACTCCAACAACAAAAATTGAGTAAACCTGACCTAGAATATTGCAATATAGATTTAATGCTGACAAACATGAGAAAAGTGTCTTGTCGAACGAAATTTATTTAGTAGTTTCCTTAATGCTATCTTACAGAAAAACTGGAGATGAAGCCAGTGTTATGAAAAGATAGTGCTAACAATATAATATTTTTTCCAACTTTATCATTTCAAATATACTGGTTTTTCAATTACTACTTCTCTCCCTCGCTGTAATGCATATTGCAATACCTTTATAATAAGTATAATGTTTCGAACAATTCTTACAATTACCTTCGAAAAAAAAATCACTCTCTGACACGATACCAATGAATTGGTTATGTAGTAATCTACCTTTATGACCAAATGTATTTATTTTGCATATTTAGTATTTTCAAATTTGAAATGTCAGAGTTTCCTCAAGTGATACTAAAAACCGTAAAGTTTTATGCATAGTCGAGATTTCGGACTTAATGCTGGTCCTAGATTTGATATAGCGGATTTCTTCCAGCATATTCTTTCTGGCAATTCTGCCTTGTATCTATCATTTATGTTTATCGTAATTCGTACTTCGTATATTCGTACAGTCCTTTATTTCTCGCCATATGATAAACAGCAATATATAACAAAAGACACATTTGACATTTGTCAGGGAATAATGGAAATCCTTCAATATCAGCGATAATGTCATTCTTTCTACAGCTAATGCACTAAAGAAATATTATTGTTTCGTTCGATTCATAAGATACCTTCTACATAAAACTCCATAATTGTATTGGCCTCTACTTAGTGGTGCATTACAGATTTAAGACTAAAAAATAAAACTCTTTCAGGTTTTGATGTAAAGTAATCAATAGGCGCCCAGACTATTCGCAACGCAATGCGCATTTCGCAAACATTACTCGGACGTGAATGTGTACTATGCCCTAGAAATGTGGTTTACGGGTTTGCGGGTTTGTAGGGAAATTTTTCTGTGGACACTTTTGCTATCAACATTTCATTTATATACATTACCCAGTGTACATTCTGGCGTGGACATTTTCGATGTGGTCATTTTTTCTGTGGTCATTACGTTTATTGGATATTATGCAGTGAACATTATGGTATGAACATGTTTGGTGTGGATGCTCTGTTAATTGCACAGGGAGGGAGGAGGGGAGTGGAGGCGCTCACCTGCTTGTGTATGCCGATGATCCTGCCGGCGTTGGGGTAGGAGAAGGGCGGGCGCTCGAGGAACTCGTTGACCTTGGTGGCGAAGCCGGCGAAGAAGTGGGCGTCGGGGGGCGTGGCGGCCACGCCCAGGTAGGAGCGGAAGGCGCGCTCCACCACCGGGTCGGCCACGCGCAGCAGCCCGGTCAGCGCGCTCTCGGGCTGGCGCGCGTCGTACTGCTCCGTCGTCACGCCCACCACCACGTACTCGCCTGCACAGCGCGCAAATGCTTGGATATGCATTGCTTGTCCATTATAAAATTGCAGACTACACTATTAGGAACTACTGTGGTTTTGAAAGTGAGCGCCCGAACACAAATCAAAGAATGTACGATGAGATGTGTAAAGCATCTATTACTTGTTGTTATAAATTTTCTGACTGCAGAATTAGTAACTATTGTAAATTTTAATGTGAGGGTCCGAACACAAATCAGAGAATGCACGAATAGCTGTTTAAATCATCTATTATTTGTTCATTATAAATTTGCAGATTGTAGACTTAGGAACTACTGCGATTTTAAAAGTGAGGGTCTGAACACGAGATTGCAAGAACAGTTGTGTTAATCATCTATTAGTTGTTATTATGAATTTGCAGACAGAAGACTTAGGAACTACTGTTGTTTTGAAAGACTGGGACCGAACACAAATCCGAGAATGCACGAACGAATAGTGCCGATGTCTAAAACAACTTTGCCAATTCGGACGTCTCTAAATTGTCCTATTTCGAGAAGTGTGGTGAAGATTGCGTGGCAAGCGTCATAATACAACAGAATATTTTTACCCAATATTTATCGTTAATAAAGCCAGTAAATATTGGTACTAATTTGTAAAGTGGGCTGAGAGGAGCCACTCGACAGCTCTGAATAGCTCACGATCGTATAAAAGTTCTCAGAGACACTGAAGTTTGAAAGTCCAGGTTAGTAAACGTTAGCCCAGGTTAACCACTACGCAGAACTATTTGTCGCGACACTTTGGAATATACTATTAATATTTAAATACTTCTAACCTGCTAACGTTTCAATAATCACCTGAAAATTCAAACAGTGTAACTCAAAATGAAACAAAAACTAATATTTTTTTAAAATATGTATACATTAAGTGAATTATCTATTATTGGGTAGTTTTGTTCGAATGGGCATTGCTTAGAATCAACATGTCTTATTTGACAGTTATTAAAAAATGTTAGCGGATTCTCAAACAAACCACAAAAATACTAAAGGTTAATTTTTTATTCAAATCAAATTCCGAAATTGTCTAATATGAAGGTAGAGATCGTTCATATCAGTATTTTCTTTTGTAACTTTTGATGAATTGTTGTGTTTTGTTTAAATATAATATACTAGTGTTAATTTTCCCACATAATTCGGTACAATTTGCATGCATGATTGAGTTGGTTACCCTGTGTTCATTTACATCTAATATTCCTTTTACTTAAATTGCGTTGTTGTGTTTCGATAACATGACATGGCAAGGGTTACGGTTCCTTCTCAAGGCAATGAGCTGCAACCCGCCGCAGCAGACACATCACACGCAGGAAGGTATCTCAAACGATCATCCGTGCCGTTGCACGATATTTGTTATATTAGTTTACAATTTTTATGTTTTAACTATTTGTCTAACTACGTGGCGTCAACCATACGTGAATATTTATTTTTATTTTTGCTTATTCATTTTTGTTATATTAGTTTAGAATTTTTATTTTTTAACTATTTAATTGTTTAACTAGGTGGCGTCAACCATACGTGAATATTTATTTTTATTTTTGCTTATTCATTCAACAGAATCCTTCATCAGGCTTAATGCATGTCACCTGACTACCTCACTGGGCTTTAAACCTGTTGGAAAAGATTTACACTATCTATGAAATTTATTCGTGCGGAATAGACGATAAAAAATCTAACAATTGTAAACTCTTTGAATCATTTATACTGCACGTGAGCGGTTTATAATAGTGAAATAATATATTTCAGAAGTATTATTTCATAGACGATTGAACACAATTTAATTATTAAAACTTCTCTCTGACGCTTTGAAATTGAGTGCTTTGTACTTTCCGCGTTTGATCTTATTGAATATATTGCTCATGTTACGAGAATACGTGTCTCATAAAGTAACAGAGAGTATTGAAGTCTATACCGTCACAAAAAGCTGCTTTTGTTTATTCTCAGGAACTTACCTTTTTCGAGAAGACCTAAAGAGTCCATCGCAGTTAAGAGACCAACGTGTTGGTTCTGGTCTCCGAGGATCACGTACACTGAAAAAATAAAGAAAGTTTGTTATTTCATGTATTCTTACAATATATTGTTCTGAAGTGTAAAATTATCATTCTTGTTAGTAAATGGGTAAAGTATATCTTATTCACTCTGAGTTAAACAAATTTACAAATATTGAGTTTTATGTGGACCTAAAGTAGTAGTAAGACTCGCAAAATTTTGTACCATTTATTATTAATTATTGTTGTTATTAAAATACTCTCTTGTAATTTATTGTTAGTCAATGTAACCTTAATTCATGTAAAGTTAAGATATTCTGCCACCAACTTCCGATACTTAATTTCATAATCAATAACAAATCTAATCTAATCTAATAAAATTTATTTTCTAAATTTAGGGAGATAATTTGAGATACTGAGCTGTTGAAACTCGTAATACAAAGTTCTCGAAATCACGTATCAATATACAAATCGCTTTCTTCTTGTGAACGTAGATAATATACGGGTTATCGTGGGAGGTAATGTCGAAACTTCGCAAATAAGCTCTCAAGACAATTTTAAGCGTATTTTGTCTAATAAACTACTTGCTTATTTCAAATGGTTAAGCCGTAATAAGCACTAAAACGTTAGTTTGAAAAATTTATTTCTATGCAAAAATGTGCATTGCAGAAGCATATAATCTTTCCAGAAATATGTGAACTATTTATAAGTTTTACAAGAAATGATTGTATTTGTTCAGAAAGAAACATTAAGTCATAAATAATAAGCAGTCGAATTGTGTAAATTGGGTACTTTTTTTTATTTCAGTGTTAATGTTTCATTCTGAACAAATATATTAATTCTTTTGTATACAATAAACAATTTACGTTCTTCTGGAGTGTTTATGTGCTTCTGCAATGCACATTTTTCCTTAGAAAGCAATTTTTCAACCAATTTTGAGTGTTTATTGCGACTCAACCGTTCGCAATATCCATGTAGTTTATTAGACAAAAGATGCTTAAAATTTTCTTAGCTTATTTACGAAGTATCGACGTTTCCTCCCCGAGAACTCTATATAGTCACTTAGACCTTGTACATGTACCATTGAAATTAATTATATGCTCATATGTAAGATTCGAGATTTTTTCGGTTTATTGTGCCAGAAAATGGCACAAAGAGATGAAAACAGACTTTTTCTTGAAAAGTTTGTTTCAGATTTTGATTGTGTAGATTCTGAACTGACCCATTTATGAGGTGAGATTTCATTTATGAGAACGCGTGGAACCAATACGTTCTCGCGCCTTGTAGAACTTGTTCACACCTTGTATCTACCCGCGCGGCCAACACCTTTCACACGGCAATGACTCAACAGTAATCGGAAGGATGCGTATCAATCCGTAAAAAAAACGATAATTTTTTTGAGAGAGTGCACTTAAACATTTTCCAGGAATTCGATCATCTCGGCTTCGTCCCTTCCTTCAATCCTCTTCCATGTTACTTAAACCTTTATTCAATCTTCAATTTGTAAATCACCCTGATTCTACACTCCGCTCTATGTGGTCACCGTAACTACTGCTTCATCCTGTTCATCTTCCTTTTCCACCTCCTCTTCTCTTTTCTTTACGCGCTCCTTTTGAACTGGCTTAGTGGCTAGTGAATTGATGTTAGCGCAGTGTAGCTGACCGAGGTCCTCTGGTTCGATTCCCGACGTTGTCAGAATATTTGAAACTAGCTAGCTAGATAGGTCTAATTCTGCCGGTGCCTAGGGGAGAATACTAGAGACGACTTCTCTGATCGGTAGTTTTTGTAGTTTCTCCCATCAATACCAGGCAAATGTCGGAGCAGTGCCCTAACGAATTGACCACGGGCCTTGTGCTCTTTCCTTCTGCTTCCTTGAATTGAATTGAATTTGCCTTATTTTACGTGGCGAGACTCGGGCCATCAGGCCCGCTCTTCCGTCTGACCACGCAAATTTCGCTACGCTCCTTTCACCAACTAGGAGAGAAAGGAGGTATTTCTTGGGCGAGAAACAGGCGATTTGAATTTAGCTCAGAGGCGTCATTTAGGCTTGAGGATCTTTTACATGCAAGTAAATATACGAACATGGGACAGCCGGCTTTACTTCCCCTCCGAAGGAAGGCGTACGAAGGATTTTTGCGCCCTTAAAAATCCACGGCTTCGATCGGGTTTCAACCCGCCAACTTGGGTACAACAGTTCGGTACGCTAACCGTTACACCATCGCCGCCATCGTCCTTCTCCTATCCTCACCCCTTACTTAGACACACCCACTCTTACATTTACGACACTACCGCAAATGTCGGGAGACCAGCCGCAGTCGGAATCTTAGAGCTTGCCCCGGCTCGAGCGACGCCTCGCTGGTGGGAGATGGTTGGGGAAATCTCCGATGTGTCAGATCTCGCCATCCAGCGGGGGAAGATCACCGCCACCCCTCGCGATAAAAAGATGCATTCCACGTTCGGGACTAATGCCATTAGCAGTTGACGCGTCCGGAATCGCTAATCAATGAATCAAATCTCTTGACCAATTTCATCAATCCTCCACCTCTCTTTACATTGCCCACCCCACCTTTTGACTACCCATTCCTCACACTTCGATTCTTACTTCGTGGGGTTCTCATTACCTTTCACTTTCTTTTTTCATCATCTCGTATCTCTCGTTCCTGACTCATATCCTTCATTACCTTTTTTCTCTTTTTTTCTTTCGTTCTGCTGTGTGTATCCAATCTATCTATTCCTTCATGTCTCTCGATTGTTCACTTATTTTTACTTCTCTCGCGTTTTCTTTTTCTTCTTCTGCTATTCTTTGTTTCCTCCCTTCGTCCCTTCCTTCAATCCTCTTCTTGTGTTAGATTATCATTATCCTCACTTATTCTTCCTTCTCTCATTACTCCCTAACCATTCTTTCCTTCCTATTCTTTCTTTCCATATAATATTTCTTTTCATCTTTCTTTTGATCCTTTCTTTTTTTCTTATTATTCCCTTTCTCATCTTCCTCCTATTCCCTTTACCTTCTTCCTGTGTATCACTTATC